CTGTGGCTTTGGAGTCGAGAAGTTGGAGTGCTTTGGTCCAGTAAGGGTTATTCAGCACTGTAAGCCCTGGGGCAAGGGCCTTTGAGAAGCAGGGCAGACAAGGGTGCACAGCCAGCTCCTGGCTCCCAGCTCTCCTGATGCTGCCCTACACCCACAAGATGTAGTTGTCATGGTGATGGGAGGGAGGTGTTAAACCAGGAAGGGCTTCCCCCATCTTGACTTGAGTGCCAGCTCATTCTGGGCCCTGGGCTGGAGATAATGATAATAATAGAGCACTTCTTACACACTAAGCCCAATTCGAAGCACTTTGCATAGATATGACTTCATTTAATCCGCAAAACAACCCCATGAGGTAGGTACTATTATTATCTCTGGTTTGCAGATGAGAGTTTTAAGGTGTGGAGGTAATTTGTCCCAGGCCACCCAGTATACAGTAGACAACCCAGGCCGCCTGGTTCCATGTTTCTAACTTTCCAGAAAAGTTTCCTAAGACTCTGCAATCAAGTGGGTCACTGTGTACAGCCTAAGGTGGCCCACATGCTGGCAGAAGGGGGTCTGGACACACTGAAATGCACATGCCAGCTTGCTTTTGCCCTGCTGGGAATCTGATAATGGCATCGACTTTCTTTCCTGCTCACCTGGCACAAGCTGAGTTTGCAAGAGCAAGGCCAAGCTGGGATAGCTGATGCCAGCAGCATGCTAGCCAGGTTTACGTGGCAAGGCACACTCCAGAACGTGGGATGCATAGTACAGGACGGAACTGCATGCTGCTTCAGACCTCTGTCAGAGGCCCCTAGTCTTCTAAGGCGAGTCTAGCGCAACCCTAGACTCCCTCACTGCCTGCTTCTCCCCTTCCCATCATCATAACACTCCTTCCTGTAATTTTGGTAAAGGTATGAATGACTGCTAGGCACATTCTTAGACAGAAGTTCCAGTTGTGGTCCCTGTTGAGGGCAAGGGGGGCCTGGGTACTGTCCTAACCTTTCTATAAGCCAGAGCACACATGCCTGAGTCAAGGGAGAAGAAAATGTAATAAGGTGGGAGAGCTGGCAAGGTTCCTGCCGGGAGTTGGTCTGAGCACAGGGTCTGGAGTCGGCAGCACAAAGAGCCGCATTGCTCTTTGCCCTCTCAGTGGCCTTGCTGAGCCTCGGTTGTGCCATCTGTAAAACAGGGCTCATGACTGCCTGTGAGGGTGCCAGGAGGGCAGAATGAGAAGGTGAGTGTGGTTGCACTTGGCAAATATTAGCTGCTGTGGTTATTGGCCTGGCGATAGTCCAGACAGGTTCCCTCACCCTTCGTCTCAGCAGAGACATTGTGTGGGCAGCACTGCCAGCCTGCAGATGAGTTTCGTCTTCAATTTCAGTGAGTTGCCAACATTTAAAAATTGGGAATTTCCCACTAAAATCAGATTTCAAAGGGAAAAAAAGGATTTCCAGCTTTCCTTGAAAGGTTAGATCTGGGGACAATAGGTCTGCATCCCTCTCACCACCTAATAATAACACATTTGGAGCTCAGCAGGTTGCTCCTTCCAACAATAAGCTCTTGCTCTTGGTCTCAGGCCTGGTCCTTTTTATCCTTCTATTCACTTCTAGAAACTGCTGACCTCTGGAAGCATTTCTATTCGTGACCCTTGAAAGTGTACTTTGGATGAGCTAGGAGAGTCTCAGAGAGTTTCAGTGACTTTCCTAAAGCCACACAGTGAGCAGTGGTGGGGCTGGGCCTGGCGGCATGCCTGCTGCCTGGTCCAGTACCTCTTTCATTAGCAGGGGCAGCCCAGTGCCACTGGCATCATGTGTACCTTCCCCATTACTCCCAAGACCCTCATGAGGAAAATCCTGTTGTCCCTACTCCACAGAAGAGAAAAGAGAGGCTCAGAGAAGGGCAGCGAATTGGCCCAAGGTCACCCATCCGGCGAGTGGAGGGACTGAGCCAGATCTGGCTCTGCAGCAGGTGCCACTCTTAAGGACTTTATTCTCTATCTCCAAGACCCTCTGATTCCATCTCTCCTGAAATGACCTCAGTGGGCTCCTGCTGGCAGCCTGGAGATCTGCCAGGTGGAGGGGCTGTGGCTTTGGCTAGGAATAGGATGCTGACAAGGCCAACCAGAGGCTAGTGCAGCCAGTGACCAGAGCTTCCTGAAGCTACTGACACACAGGAAAGAGCCCAGCAGAGGCCAGCCAGAACTGCTCCAGACCCTCCTCTGAGCTCTTAAGACTGCTCAGCTCCTTCCTCCTTCTGCACCCCTCCCTACCCAACCTATTTGTTCAGTCCCAAACCCCTAATGCTGTGCTGCTCATTGAAAACGGCTCTAGATTCAAATTCCAGCTCAGTTTTCCTTACCTTGCGATGCCTTCTATTGCTGTTTGCATGTAGACATAATATGCGCTAACTGCTTGGCACTGTGCCTGACACACAGTAGGCATATAATAGAGACCTGATGACTGAATGGATGAATGGGTCCCCATTCCACAGATGAAGAAGCTGGGCGCTGGATCACTCAGCCCGTGAGTAGCAACCCTGGGATCTAAGCCAAGGTGCTTGGCCACTATGCTGACTCCTGATCAGGCCCTTCCGGGGTGGGAGTTGGGTGGGGGGAGCCACCACCTGGCTCTGCTGGACTCTACCCATGCTAGGGGCCCCCTCCTGGGCTTGTCAGAGAAATGGCTTTCCAGGAATTTTATGCTCTGGCAGGGGAGAAGGACCTCATTTCTCTGCTCCCCACTCCCCCATCTCCTTGCTTAATGTCCTCACATCATGGTTCTGCCTCACTCCCCTCACTCTGAGCGGGGGAGAGGTAGTGGGAATGATTAGGGGGCCAGTACAGGGGAGCCTCAACCGTACAGATTGAGCCTTTTGAGAACCTTTAGGTTTGAAAACCTTTTCAAGCACCTTCCCTGCTCAACCTTCTCCCTCCCCCACACACTTTCTGGATAACCGCATCCTGTCGTCAACCCCCAAACAACCCACAAAGGCCATAGCATAGACTGGCAAGGGAGAGGTGGTGGCGGCAGTGGCTGGCATTTATTGGGCACCTATTATGTGCTAAGCATTTGAATTTGCCACTGCAGCCCTCTGAGGGGGCTGCTACTCTGTCCCTTCTTCTGGTAAGACTACTGAGGTGCAAGGAGATGACTTGTCGTAGTCACCAGAGCTGATAAGAGGCAGAGTCCAGGTTCAAAGCCCGGGCTGGGAGCTCCAGCTCCCGTGGCTGCTTGGGAAAGGTTTCAGATTTCAGAGTGGGAAGGCAGGGGACCTGGGTACTATCCCAACGTTTCTTCAGACAGGCTGTTTTAAGTGGGTCTCCAGCTGTCTCTCGGGCCTCGGCTTTCCCATGCCTAATAGGAAGCACTGTTGTCACCCTTGACTAGGGGAAGGGACTGGCATTCCAGGGGGCAGATTGACCATGCTCTTTAGATGGAGTGGCCTGGTTGACTAAGAAGAGGGACACACAGTGCCTCTGCAGCTCCTGGAAGGGGGCATACTTGGATGGCTGGCTCTGGGCATTTCCACTGGCAGGCCTGGCTTCCAGTCCCCATGTTCAGCCCCACTCTGCCCTCAGTCAGCTGAAATCCACAGATCCAGAAGGCTGAGGGTCCTCTGGCTCTTCACACAACACAATCTGGGGATGGAGAGTGACGCTCCCCTCTGGATTGGGACAGTTCCTGAAGACCTAGTGCTCCTGCCTCTGGAACTCCAGGGTATATGGGGACCGGAGGGGGGGGGGCTGACCCGGGAGCCAGGAGGGGGTGTGAAGCTGGAGCAGGGGCAGTGGGGACAGTTAGGGCGCTGAGTGTGAGAGTGAGGGGTGTGCGTTCAGCACGGAGGCGTGTAAACGGAGGCGTGTAAATGGAGGGGTAAGTCGCGTGTGTGCACACGCTGGGCCGGCGTGCAGGGCGCGATGCGATGCGCAGTGCGCGGAGTGGCTGGGCCGAGGAAGGGCGTCCGGCGTGCGCTGTGCCCTGCGTTCGTGTGCAAGCGCTTCGCGAGGTGCAGGCGCACAGAGTGCACGGGGCCTGGGGGTCCGGGTGCGAGGAAGGGGACTGCGTGCGTCCGCGGGCAGGACGTGTATCCTGGCGGTGCGCTGAGGTTGGCAGGTGCGTGCTCACCCCGGCTCCGCGGTGGGGCCGCTGCTCCGGCTCGGGCTCGGGTTCCGGTCGGGGCTCGAGGCTCCCGGCCCGCCTCCCGCAGCTCTCAGGCACCGGCGCCAAGCCCAGCTGCTGGCGGCAACGCCACCCCTGCAGTGTCGCCGGGCGCCTGCTTTGGAGGAGCGCGGCGCAAGCTGGGGGCTCGGCCGGGCCGGGGCGGCGGACTGGAGCTGCGCCGCAGTCCGGGCACGCTCCCAGGAGCCCGCCGCGCGCTCCCTCGCGCTCGCCCTCCCGCCCGCTCCTTTTTTAATTTAAAGTGACAACCTCGAGCGCTTTCTCTGCTCCCAGGAGCGGTGCTTCCGGAGTCTGAGCCGGAGATCCCCAAGCACGCTCCAGGGTCCCGGGGAGCGCCTCAAGCCAAGCCCAACCCCTCAATCCCAGGCCCGCGGACGAGGGTGGGGTGAGGTTGTGCACACCAGGGATCTCAGAAGCAGGCCTAGCGCTGGGCGCAGAATCGATGGTCCGAGTTCTAGCCCCAGCCTGCAGTTCCCCTTACCCCTTTCTCTTTCTAGGCCTCAGTTTTTTAAATCTGTATAACGGGCGGGATACTACACACCTCCCGAGAACCAAAGAAAACAGACCGCCAAGCGGCGCAGCGGGTTTTCCCTTTCATGAGTGGACAATTCCATCCCTTCCCACCGCGATTGTGCTGTTACTTTAGACAAGCTAAGTTCTGGTCCCTTACAACATCATCTTACTTCAGCCTCTCACAATGGCCTAACTGGCTGTAGTCACTCCATTTTTTACACGCTGAGAGAAGCCACCGAGGTCATAGAGCCAAAGGTCAGAGCCCGACCTTGGACTCAAGTCTCTGTGACCTCAGAACCCCTATTCTTTCATTTAGGGGTCATGCTTTCTCTCCCAAAAGAATGAATGAATCATTCAGGAGATATTTATCACGCCCCCGCTGGGCTCAGTGCCAGGTGTGGGCGATCTTCCATCTTCCGGGAACAGGGGACAGGTCCCTCCCTGCCCGCGCAGTCTGGCGAGGAGGCCCGGCATGCATTAGCAGGGGTGGGGTGTGCGGGGGAAGGTGGCACGTGTTGTGGGCACTGCGACCAGGAGAGCAGGCTGGGCAGGCACTTGAAGAGGTCTCTCTGAGATCTACGGTGGGGTGGGGTGGGGAAGAAGGCTGAGGATTCCAGATGAGGAGCGAGTTTGCCAAGGCGGCAGTGATGCCCGATGATGTCCGGATCGTCGACGCTCTGCCTGTGGAACTGTCTTCTCAGTAGAGACTGGATCTGTTTTGGTCTTGTGGCAAGGAGTCATTCTTAACCTAGGGCTCCAAGGGAGTCCGGGGAATGGGAGGGCTGCAGCTTCACTTCACCCATAGGGGGCGCCCTTGTTTTTTTTTATTAGATTTCCTAGACCTGAAAGAGAGAGGAACGTGCTGACCTGGGGGTGGAGGTGGGGGTGGACAGGTCTTTATACTGGGCCAAGGTCTTTGACTGCCATTTCCCATTGAACTTAACCTTCACAGCCACTTGTAGCTTTGATATAATTGAAACCAATTTCTATTGGAGGACACAGAGGCTTGAGGAATGACGAGGTTTCAGGTTTGGGGGAGTGAGAAGTTAGACACACCATCAGTGCATAATAGAGGACAGTCTCATAAGAGCTTCTACTGGAACAACCAAAGGTAAAGTTGGGGTTAGTCCAGTTCTGGTGTAACCTTGGGGGGCTGATGCAGGGACTGGAGTGAACATGAAATGATATCTTGTCAATTTTATGTTCAAACCTCTTCAGTGAGCAGAATGCATGTGTGTGTGCAGCTAAAGACAGGACTAGAATGTTGACAAAAGCCCCGAGCTGGAAACCACAAAGCCCATCAACACTCAAATGCTTAAATGCGTTGTGGTACCCACATAATGGAATACCGAGCAGGGAAGAGAAGAAACAAACTATAACCACTGATAAACGGTGGGTGAATCTCACAAACAACACTGAGCGAGAGAAGCCAGACACAAAACAACACATGCTCTATGATTCCATTCACAGGAGGTTCAAAACCAGGCAAACCTACTCTGTGTTGTCAGAAGTCAGGGTGGAGGTTCCCATGGGGGTGGTGACGGGAAGGGGAGGAAGTTCTGGGGTGTTGGTCACATTCTAGGTTTGCTCTTAGTGCTAGTCTCCTAGGTGTATCCACTTGGTGAAAATTCATGGCATTGTACACTCTTCTGCATTATACACTTCAGTCTAATTTTAAAAATGAAAACCCCTTGTCTGGCTGTGCACTGCATTCCAAGCAGAAGCCAAACTCCTTACTGTGGGCCACAAGCCGTGTGATCTGGCCCTGCTGGTCTCTCGGAATTGTCACATCACCACCCCCCTCACCCACTGAGCTCCTACCTCCTAGGCCTTCTGGCATTCCTTCCTGACACCTGCCAAGCATTTTCCACCTCAGGGACTCTTACTTGCTGGTCCCACTGCATGTTAAATGTTTTCCCTGTTCTCACCAAGACTGCTTCCTCCACGTATACATCATCCTAAAGGCATCATCTCCTCAGAGAGGCCCTTCCGACTACTCTGTTAGAAAAGCCCCTCTACCCCCTCTGATGTTTCTCACAGCATGATGTTCATTTCCTTCAAAACACCAACCACCAGGTCAGCTGTTGGGCTCCTACATGGCCACCCGCCATTCGAGTCCCGGACCTGGCAGCTTGCTTTTTTACATCCCCCCAACATCTTCTTTCTCTGTGTCTCTCTCTGGTGAGTGCACATGCCCTATAGTAAATTTA